AGGAAAAGTGTAGAGACATGAAATAGCCTTAGAGATCTGGTGACTTCTTGGCATCATTATGGACAAATTAAAAGTCTGTGAGCCTAGCCCATGTGAAAAACCTAGCGCTAACATTCACCAGCCTTCACCTGCCCTCACAGTTACTTCAGCAATCCATTTCCACACTCATACCCTGGACCTTGGTCTTATTTCTTTGCTTGTTCAACAAATATTTATCAACCGCCTACCTATACATGCTGGGCACTGTTTGGGCCCTCAGGGGACAGTGGCAAAAGGACAAATGAGATTCCTGCTCTGGTGATTTACATACAAGTCAGGGAACACCAACAACAAACAAGAAAAACTGGGAAATAGCAGATAGTCATAAATGCCAAGCGCAGAATTAAACAGGATTATGTGACAGGGAGTTACCATATTGGGTGGCTAGGGGGCACTTGTATGATGAGTTATTATTTAAGCTGAGACCCAAATGACAAGAAGGAATATGCTATGTGATAATTAGGTGAAAATAGTGTAGTCTGAGAATACGATTACTCTGAAGGTCATAAGACAGAAATGAGGCCAGGAAGAAGGCCAGTGGACAGATGGGTGGTGGACAAGGAAGGGAGTGGCATGTGGTGGTGATAGAGAGGGAAGCAGAAGCCAAGTGAAACAGGGAATGCAGGCCAGAGTAGCGAGTTAAGATTTTATTGCAAGTGCAATGGGAAGTCATTAGAGGGTTGTAAGTAGAAGAGTGGTATGATCTGATTTATGGCTTTGAAAGGTTATTCTGACTGCTACGCAGAGAATGAACTGTGGAGGGCCAGAGTAGAAGCACAGTGTCCAGTACTGGGAGGCATGGGAGGTCAAGGAGGCTTGGACAAAGGTGGGAGTAAGATGTGGAAAGGTGGATATGTTTGGGATACATTTTGGAGGTAAACAATCCTGCTGAGTTTTTATTTTGGGAAACAAAGCAGATGGTGGTTTAAGTTACTGAGATGGATATGAATGGGCTGTTTTGGTTGTGAGTGACAGTGTAACAAGAGTTTTGTTTTGGTCAAGGTAAGTTTGGGACACACAAATGGAAATGCCAAGTAAGCAGATGTGAACATGAAATCTGAGGGAAGTCAAGCAGAACTGCCGTGTCCCTGTGCAGATTCTGCACTTCTTGAGTTAAGCAATACAGGGTGGGTGGGGCCCAAAAAGCGTTAGTACTTAGCTTTGGGAACCACTGGCCTATAGATGGTATTAAAGCTATAGGAATGAATGAGATTTCTGCAAACTTGGAATAATAATTCTTAACTCTTACTCAAAACAAAGCAATGATGCTAAATTTTAAAAATTCATCTTCAATTCCTTATCAAAAGCCACTTCAAACAATTTGCTCTGAAGCTCTAGTTCAATTTAAATTATCTTTTGATGACAAAAATTGGGTTTCAGATCAGGAAATTCCTTTGTATAGGTCTTTTGATGGACAGTAACATTCAAGACACTCTATCAAATTTGTAAAGTGTTCATTGCTGACATTTTGCAGCATGTAAAATCAAGATCACCTACACCACTCACAATTGTTCATATCAGTCATCTATTATCTCTTTAAATCCTTGCATGATTTTTGTCACTTTTGATTCGTTTAGTTATGTTTTTACATTTAAGTCTTTTATCCATCTGGAATTTATTTTAGTGTAAAACGGGGAGAAAGAATCTAAATTTATTTCATTTTGAATCTTAGCCAGCTATCTCAAGACACTTAACATATAAACCTAGGCTTTTCCTACTGGTATGAAGTGCCATATGCTAAGTTCCCAAGTGGATCCTAAGATCTGTTTCTGGGATCTCTATTCTGTTCCCAATGATCTTATTCATAATCCAGGCCACATTTTTATATCAAATTCAAATTGCATGTAGATTAAAAGAATTTTCACATTACAACATCTGTGCAGTTATCAAGTTACAGTGAAAAACACTTTGCTGGTGTTCCATGCAGTTCTTCCATATTATAAGCCAGTTCCTATCTCTATAGAGCCTTGTGTCCCTGGAAGTTATACTTGAGCTACCAGCTCTGCTTCATATACTGTCAGCATTTCCAGGCAAGCATTTTTAGAAAGTGTAATTTTTATGGATTTATTATAAACTTAAAAGATTTATAAAATATAAAAATAAAAGATTTGTTATAAAACACTATTAAAGTTTATCCAGACCAAAAAAAAAGGGGGGGGGGAATAGCCAATTTTTATAAAATAATTATGGAAAGAGGACTTTTCATTACCAAATATAAAATGTGATAGTAATATGGAGAAAAAATTATAGTTTTCAGCTCCATTGCCAACAAACACAAGGGGCCTTCTTTATAACATATAAAATTATGAATAATTGTCAACAGATGTGGTCTGGAGTTTAAGTTTGGTCACGAATAAGTTCTGATGATACAGCTGCAATGACAGGAAAACATTCTAGAGCAGTTCTGAAGATTAATGAGCTGCACCAGAATGTAAATTGACACTCTTCCTCCTTCGTGAAGAAGTCTAACTTCCAAAGAGTCAATTGAACTGAAGAGTAACATAAAATAGTAAAATTTTAATTTTGTAATGGCAATGTGTTAAATACAAGATTATTCTATTACATGACAGTGTAGAAACTGATAAATTCCTGTTGTTGCATGCTGAAGAACTGTGGTTATCAAGGGGAAAGTTCTGTTAGGAAAGTCTAGCCCTGATGCGTGTGGCTCATTTGGTTGGGTGTCCCATGCACCCAAGGGCTGCCAGTTGGATTCCTGGGTTTCTGCTTGATCGCCAGTAGGGGGCATGCACAAGGAAGCCGGTTGATGTTATGCTCTCACATAGACGTTTCTCTCTCTCCCTCTCCTTTCCCCTCTCTAAAATCAATAAAAATATTAAAAAAAGAGAAAGTCTAAATTCTTAGTCTTCCTGTAAGGCAAGAAACCAGTTTGGTCCAAACTCTGAAAAACTTTTAACTTTTAGAAAATGTGAACGGCTGACTTGCTTATTGGTCTGATATCTTTGGTGTTTTTAATGATCATAATCCCTGTAAGAAAGAAATGCAACTGGCTTTTTAAGGGTAGATAATATCAAAGGCCACCTAGATGTCCATAGGCACCTTAAATTCAACATATCCACAATCGGACTCACTACTTTTCCCCCAAACCTGATAATTGGACCACCTTCACCTTATAACCTAAGCCAGATACCTGAAAACCAGGCTTCTCCTGTCCCTTATCTTCTATATCTAATCACCATCTATGTTACACTGATTTTACCTATCATCCCACATGTGCTCCTTCTCATGGCCCTGATCTTCTCACCTTGGACTCCTTTCTCTTCACTAGGCAATCCATCCATCAGCTGGCCACCAGAGTACCTTTACGAATGCAGATTTCTTCATGTTACTTTTCTATCACAAGCTTTTTGTGGGCTATCCTTTACCCGTAGGAGAAATTCTAGTCTTTAGAGTAGCACCCAAAGCTCTCCATAATCTGGGCCCTCTTGCCTTTAGGTCTAGATCTTTACACTCTCCTAGCATGCCTAACCCAACCATACTTGACTATGGGGTGCCTGGAACCTTCTGTTTTGCTTCGGGCCTTTCTGCCTTTACTCACACTTGGGATTCCCTCCCACCATTTTTTTGGACGACCTAATTATTTTTGAAGAGTTAGTTCAAACTTCATCACCTTTGGGTAGCATTTCTTGTCTTTACCCACCTGCAGAAATGACAGCTCTTCCTTTGTATTCCTATTGTAGACCCCCTTTCTTTTTACTAGACACCCACAAAACTGTTCTACCTATTTGTTCACCTGCTTCCCTAATAGACTGGAAACTCCTTAAGTCAGAGACCTTCTGTGTTGTTTTCTTTTATTACTACTATCTAACAGTGCTTGCACAAGTTAGGCACTCTGTGAAAATTCTTCAAATGAATAATAAGTGAGAAGTTTCAGAGGCACAATGGAAGGGGTTGTCAGAGAACGCAGTAGTGTTAAAGCTGGTCAAGAGGAAGACACAGGGCAATACAGTGCTGAGAGCAAAGATAAGGAAAATTTACTGAGGGCCTTGGCTTTGTACAGTGATTAAAGAAGAGTGGTATGGTGTGATTAACTGGCTTTAAGCTTCTGACTAGGATTCTGGTATAGGTGATTCTATTGCTCTAGAAGCTCAGGTGGTAGTTGAGATCACATGAAGTTTGCTGATATTATCCAGTTTGCAAATATTAGCACACACACCAAATCAGTGCTTCATTTATCTAATGCTGTACAGTATACAAAATTCCTTACTTCTCTATTATTTGACCCTTAGAACAGTTATCACCCTAAGCTTCAGTTTCCTTTTTGGTAAAAATGAAAATATAGCCATCTCTTAGGGTTGTTTGCAAGATGTGTTGTATGTATGGCACACAGTTGAGTACCAAATACTATGTTGTTAGATTGGAAATTTGCGGCCCCCTAATGATTAGCTGACTTGCTCAAGGTCACAAAAGTAAGTTAGTGGCAGATTTATATATAAATTCTAATCTTACTGTCCTCTTATTGTAGTGTTCTTTTTACCACACTAGAGTATAATGAGATATCTTCTATTTACTTGGTACACAGGATCTTTAATTTCCTTGACAGGATTACCCAAAAGTAGACTTTGGAAATACTTTATCAGAGAGCTGATTGCCAAAATCAAGCAAAATCTAAAACTTGGCAAGAACCAAAATGCAAATATAAACAATATTTTTATAGCTTGCATTGCTTCCTAGTCTCTCTATTTTACACTTGATGATTTTCAGCAGAGAATCTCAGTAGGCTGGCTCCTTCCTCCATGAAGTTCTGTGGAGATGTGCTCTCATATTAATTGACTTTTAAAATAGGTTTTTTAAGTCCAGTTTTATGCCAGAGCAAGCGTCAGTTTGGGGCCTTAGAATTAAGATAACTGGCATCTGCAATGGGGACTGGAACAGAAGGAGAATGGATTTGGGCTGAAGCAGACACTGACAATCACACCCACCTGTCCTTGTGTTTTCTTTAGTGTTTAATCCAGGAAAAACCTGAAGACCCACAATGTGAATTGGAGACGAAATTATTAAGTGAAACAGTTTCATCAGGTATTCTTCTAACTTAAATTTTTAGAATTTAACTTTATTGGGATTTTCCTGCTTACAAAAGAAATGCAGGGTCATTGTAAAAAAAAAAAAAAAAATCAAATGTGGCAGAAATATATTTAAAGTGAAAATTCTTTATAATTCCTTTTCTGAGCTAACCAATGTTAACAAATTTCTTTTATTTGTGCTTACTTCCTCTCTTCTCCTCTCTCTCTTGTTTTTTTGGTTTTTTTTTTAATAAAACCATGGGATTGTGTCATACAAATACTATTTGTAGAAAAATTTTTTTTTCAAACTAACAGTATTTGTTATGCTACATAACATTATACATACATAGAACACAATACATATGCTACTTAAATGAATAATATTTAACATTATTCTAAGTCAGAACCATTGGTAACCCTATCTTTTGTAGTAGCTCTATAATTCTATTCAATAATTAAAAATTATTTATATCTTTATTGATAGACAGGTTATTTCTAATTTTTTATCATTACAGTGTTGCAATGAACAATCATAAGCACACATATACAATCAGACATTTCTCAACACTTGTCTTCAGTCTTATCCTGGCAAATAGCAGTTGGGTATAGCTTAAAAATGTCAAAACGATAGTGATGTATCATTTGCAATCTTTTAGTTTGAGATTTATGTACATCTTTTCCATTAACTTATCATATGCTGTTTTCCCAGTGACTTCTAAGGAGTCTGTTTTCTATATATTTCTTAGCACATTTTTCATAACAGTCTTCTTGTCTACTTCTTTACTTTTTAAAAAACACTTTTGTTTCTGCAGTCAGCTAGGTTTATATCTTTGTAATTTTCTATAACCCTTACAAGGTAATTTTCCTGTTAAAAATATGACACTATAGTCAGTTCATAACCTTTGTCAATAATACCAAGGTTCTCTACATGATGATCCCCAACTAACATTATATCATAAATGTCTAAATTGGGATGCAGTATTCTTTCTTACTTTCTTTTCAGGTAAATGGATTATTAATTAGACACATTTGAAAATTAATGAAAGCCTGCATTTTATTGACTTGTACACAAGGAAAAAAGTGAAGTTGCTGAACTGGAATTTCCTTTGTATATTTCCATTAATTTTCAGTGCCTCACCTCCATGGGTTAAATTTAATGCCATCTCTGTGTGCTTCCTTTTATGAGAGAGGAAAATTGTAATGATAAGTTACAAGGCTAACAGGTCCTGAGTTTTTACCATGTCTGGCACCAGTTCTGAACTCTTTACATGCATGAACTTACACCTCCCCCAGATTCTGTAAGATAGCTACCACTATTATATCCATTTTATAGAGAAAGGAACTGAAGTATTACTTAGCATATATTGTATAAGGGTGGGACCTGTAAGTGATATGATTTCCCTTTGTTATCCATTATACTATATTGAAAGAGTTTTAGTGAAAGGTGAGAATGGTCCCGGTGATATGTGACTTCAGACATTCCTGACTGTGCATTGAGGATTATGAAATCATAGAATTTCCCCATAAAATTTTTGAACACAGGAGATTATCCAATCCAGTTTCTTCAATTTCAAGCCTCCATCCCTGTTTTTCTATAAGCTGGGTCTGTTTTTGTTGGGGGGGGGGGAATTAACTTTAATTTTATATATGAACCAAAATTTATTTTTTCTTACCATTTTACTTTATTTTTTTTTTACATCTTTAGCCTCATAATGTCCAATTTTAAATTAATTTGGCAGTTATCAAATTTTGTGTTAAACCCTTTTTTGACCTTTTATAATATATTGCTTCAAAATATGCCACTTTGGCATAAGGATTATTTTGAGCTGAAAGCAGCTGAAAAGATACAGATGCAAGAAAAGCTTCCTACCCTTCTCCTATTTGCCTAAAAGCAGAATATAAATTTTCAAAGGTGTCCCTCCTTTCCTCACTACTAGGAAGGACAAAGCTTAATTCTCAGAGACAACTTTAGAGCCTATCAGAAGAGGGCACCAGAGGAATCTACACAACAAACTACTAACTAGCCTTTATCTCCACCCTCAGAAACATAAAACTGCATTCTTCTGTCCTGTCATTTTCCCACAAATTTACTGTCCTTTGCTGAACATGCTATATAAGCCAGAGTTCTAAGCCACCTCTTTGAATTACTCATGTTTTCCTTGAGGATATCCCATGTATACATGAGGCACACATATTAATAAACTTCTGTTTTTTTCTCTTATTAACCTTCTATTTACAGAGGTCTCAGTCAAGAACTCACAAGTGTAGAGGGGAAATTATTTTCCCTCCCCTATAATAAGGTCTTTTTTTAAAAAAGTTTTTCTTTTAATAACGTGCTTATTGTTTACAAATTTCTGAAATGTTAGTATACAAAATATGAATGTAGCCCTCGCCTGCATCCTACACACGGCTGTTGCCACTCCAATGGTCAGCTTTGTGAATAGTTTTGTGTTAATCACTTTTTGCAAAGTTTTAGTAGCTAAATAAAAACTTCCTTTACCAGTACTAGGTATTTTCATTTCCCTTCTAAAAAAAAAAAAATACAAAAATGTTCTGATCTATTTAGAAACTGAATTAATCTGATTTATTTTAGCACAGTTGTTGCTGCTAGAGAATGCTCCTGAAAGGAAACATTTCCTTGAAGACAATGAGGTTGATATCTACCAATTCACAAATCTGGGTGGAGTATATCACTTGGATATTTTGGAGCTTCCCCCACAATGTAAACCAATGAAGGGCTGGATGATTATGGAAGTAGGTTGATTCTTAAAATTTATAAGTAAAATAATTTATCACCCTTTTATATTAAATGTTCTAGTACACAATGAACTTTAGCCCTATTAAGCAAGCACAAAGAAAAAAAGTGTAATTTAAACCATCTTGAATTTGTAAAATTAGAATCAGCACCAAAGGGAAGGAATCTAAAATAATACGTGCTTTAAAACCAGAAATCATGCATACTTTGAACCTGTAGCAGTATGTTGACTTTGTGCCACTTTAGCCTTCATAATAATAATCTGTTTCAGAGGCTGGAAAACTTTGTCTGTAAAGGGCCAGATGGTAAATATTTTCCGCTTTGTGGCCACACCAGCTCTGTTGCAACTCCTCAACTCTGCCATTGGAATGCTAAAACAGCCATATATGCATGGGCATAGTTGTGTTCCAGTTAAACTTTATAAAATAAAGTTGACAAACACTGGTGGTGGGCCACATTTCCCAGGGACCATAATTTGTGGACCCTGGTCTAGATTAGCGGTTCCCAACATGTGGAACCCCATCAGCAGCATCTGGCGTCATCTGGGGATTTGCTAGAAATGCAGATTCATGGGCCCCACCTCAGTCATACTGAATCAGAAATTATGGAGGTGTCAGACTCAGCAGTCTGTATTTTAGCAAAACACAAAGATCCACTTGTCTGGATCCTTGATATACAAAATGTGGCCCCTCAATCAGCAGCAGCAGCATCTCATGGGAACTTGCTATAAATGCATAATTTGGGGCTTCATCTCAGATGTACTGAATCTGCATTTTAACAGGACCCCCAGATGATTCAACAACTAAGTTGAGAAGCACAGCACAGCCGGCGTGGCTCAGTGGTGGAGCATTGACCTATAAACCAGGAGGTCATGGTTGGATTCCAGTGAAGGCACATGCCGGGGCTGTGCTCTATCCCCGGTAGGGGGTGTGCAGGAGGCAGCCGATCAACGAATCTTTCTCATCATTGATGTTTCAGTCTCTCTCCCTCATCCTTCGTCTCTCTGAAACGAATAAAAACATATTAAAAAAAAAAGTTCAGCAGCACAGATCCAGGTGATGCCCATGCTCCTGATGTAGGGACCACACTTGGAGTAGTAAGGATACTGATGGTCACGTTGTCAGGTGATCTGTCAAGGAGTTTCTCACTCCTGTTTGAGTAAGCAGTACTGACTCGGTTTCACTTTACCTCACTGGCTTGTGTCCCAAATTTGCCCAGTCCTGTTGTCATAGCCCGACCTGCTCTGCTGCCCTTTTCTCTCTCTCTCTCCTCTAACACATCAGGTACATAGATTGCCGGGCACTTCCCACCTACATCTTAGGACGTTGGTGCATTCTTGTATTACATCATTATTTCTCAGCTTTTATTTTTCCCCCCATATCACTCGTCTAAGGAGCTATTGTAAACATTTCTCTCTCGCCATCCCCCGCCATGGAATTTAATGCCACAGATAGACTGTGATCTGCGTATGTGCTGGATGTATATCTATGCTTTATACATAATAGAGTAAGATTTTTTTCATGCCTCCCCCAAACTAATTTTTACCCTATTGGGGATGATACGGTCATTCCTTCTCCCCACAAAGGAGAATGCATTTATTAGAGCAAGCCTGGGGGAGATAATCGGGTCTATTGCCACTTTGAAGAATCTATTTGAAGCAGCCTTCCCCATCTTGGGGACACTTGAAGGACAGTGGGGAATCCAAGAAATACATTCCTCTGAAGAAGGTAGACCTTCAAAACTCTTTATCTATAGGCCGGTCTCAGCCTGATCTGGGGTTTTCAAGGGTTCATCCAAAGACCTTTGAGAATTCCCTGAGACCACCACTCTGTGCTCTTCATCTGAGCCCAGAGTACCCTCCCTCGCACCTGTTTCTCTCTCCTGCAACAAAGAGGCCTTTTTTTTCCAAGTATCTTTTTAATAATCTACCCCCTCCTCTAGAATTTTTCCCCATCCAGTTTTTTTCTCTACTACCTAACATTTCTAATCTGGCCGCTTCCCTAGATCTTTCTCTACATTTAGATACATGTTACATTTAGATAATGGACAGATCCCCCTTGTCCCAGAGAAATCCGCTGTTGGTTTAATTTCCTTTCTTTCTCTCTCCCAGCTTTGCTGAGATATAATTGCCATGTAAGTTGCAAGGTGTACAGTGGGGTGATTTTTACCGTCATCCATTCATTTCTAGACGTGTTGCCCTGCCTGTACTTCTTCCTCTCTTCACCTGCACACACCCTAGCCGAGGCACCGGGACATGGGCCCTGGGGCCCCACAGCTCCCTCTTTGAGTTCCGATGCCTCAGTGAAGTCATTTTGTAACCATTGGCAAATTACTCAAGTTATGTAAATCCCAGTTACCTTCTTTTTTTAGCTTTATTATTAAAATTTTTAAAAGTGCAGTTTACATTCAATATTATTTTGCATTAGTTTCATATAATTTAGAAAGTGTTCCCCCTGATATTTCCAGTACCCAACTGGACCATACACAGTTATTACAGTATGTAATTAACTTTACATCACCATGACTATTTTGTAAATGCCAGTCTGTACTTCTCAATCCCTTCACCTTTCACCCAGTTCCTAGTTCCCTTCTTTGTTAAATATACGCCCCATAGGGTTGCTTGGAATAAAATGCTGAGTAAGTCCCAGCCTAGAACCCAGCCCATAAAAGGGTTCTGTGATTACATTCAAAAAATTTTTTAAAAAATATATCTTTATTGATTTCAGAGAGAGGAAGGAGAAGGAGAGAGAGATAGAAACATCAATGATGAGAGAGTCCTCATTGATCGGCTGCCTCCTGCAAGCCCCCGACGGGATCGAGCCCACAACCTGGGCATGTGCCCTGACCAGGAACAGAGCCACGCGATCGGGATCCTAGGCCGACGCTTAACCGCTGAGCCACACCCGGCTGGGCACATTCAACTTTAGTAGATTTTTTTGGCGCCTTAATCATTATCTTTTAATTTTGTTGTGACATTTTGTTAGTCAATCTGTAGCTAACTGAGACCAAACTGAAGTGCTTATTAAATATAACTATATAACTTATTCAGTAATATTTACATCTTTAACTGTTACCAGCCAGCTTCTAACTTAGTGCTGTTTTGGTCATTTTTAAAAGATACTCAAAGATGGATTACAGAAATATATATATCCTCCAGCAACTACAGAAGACTATGAAACAGAGAGCGCTTTCCCACCCATAGAGGTGACGCTCGAAGTTTATGAGAACGTGATCTTTTTTGAGGATCCTATGGTTGTAAGGTGGGATGCGGAAGGTACAGCAATGCCTTTAACCAGCTCTGATAACTATGTAACCAAAAGAAGTGTGCTAGTACAAATCCTTAAATCAACATAGGAAATGCAGGGTATAAACAATCTTACATGTTTCTAAGCCAGTTTTAGGGTCCGTGCTTTATTTGCTCGCAATGGAAATGAGTAGGGATTGGAGTTTAAAAACTTATTGAACTTTATAACTCTTAGTTACTAAAGTGTTTACATCTACCATAATCCCTGAAGAATTACAATCGAGATTGGTGTTAAAATTGGATTATTTTAATGTTAAGGATTTATAAATCTTATTACAACCAAGTATTGAAGTATTAGGGATGGGAAGTGGACAAATGGGAAACCTGTGAAAGAAGAAAACTCACTACTGTGTGCCTCTTTATGACTTTTGATTGTTGAACCATAGGAAATTAGTACTTGTTCAAATGTTAAATAAAAATATATCAGAAGTACTAATAGAAATACAAATTAAATATTCACTAATCATTAACATATACTATTTTAGGTTGGCTGGCTAAACTTGAAAAGGTCTTGGTCTTGTGAATTAATGTATGCAGTTTTGAGGCTCCAAGATGAAAGCTGTGTAGCTTTATTTATCTTTTTAAATATGTTTTTATTGCTTTTTTTCCCTAGAGAGAGAGGAAGGGAGAGAGAAAAACATGGATTGGTTGCTTCCTGCATGCAGCCTACTGGGGATCAAGCCTGAAACCGGGGATTAACATGAATTATTTTACATTCATCTTGTGAAAGGAGTTACATATTTTGTGATAGGTTGGGAACAGTTTATTTATTTTTAGGTTGGGGACAGTAGATCACTAAATCAAAGAGCTTGTATTTAATCTATTTATTTAGTTATGTGGGCAGAGAATTTAGGAATTTCTCCACCAAGAAGGGTAAATATTTGGAGTTTAAACATTTTTATGACTACTATAATATTCCATGATTTTGCTTGTGTAGACAGAGCTACAAGATATTATTTATATTCTAGAAATTGTTTATGTATTATAAACAGATTTTTATCAATACATTAAACTATAAAATATATCAAAATGAACAATTAGGTCATTTCTTCCTTTTGTGTTGCTTTAGAAGTTTCACTTTCCTTTAATGATAATATTCAGAAATATTTATCACATTAAAAATTATTCACACTAAATTAAAACTAGACAAGGTAAATTATTCACATGACTTTGGGAAATACAACTTTTAAAATTTGGCTCTAACTGCAGTAATCAGTCAGCCTACAACTCCAGTATTTTTTAATCCATGAGGAAACTCTGCCTAGAAGTACTAGAAACTTGGAGAATCCATTTATAGATGATACTTAATTTTTACCTTTACAAATTAAAATAATGTTAATGTAAAAGCAAAAAGAGGAAATAAAAATAACTTAGTTTGTTAGTATGATTGTATTTGTTATGTTAAAGAGTCAAAAATTGTCAGTAGAACCACACATGTGAGAAGAGGGGAAAGCCAGTGGAAATGGAGAGGGCATTCTAGGAAAAGATTCATTTGTTCCACAAATATGCCAAACAATAAGAAATACAGAGATGAATGAGTTCTGTCTTCCGGGAGTTTTCAAAATTGTAGGAGAGGCACAGAGAGAAAGGCCTCCTGACGTAATGCAGTGAGGTGCTATCACAGAAGTGCTGTAAAGCAGAACAGTGGCCGGGCCAGTCTGGACAGTTAAGGATGAAATATTGAGCAGGCCCTGAAGAGACTAAGAGAACATTCTCATACGAGGCTTTGCATGGGCATGTCTTCATTGCTCTTGGGTATATATGCCTAGGAGTAGAATTGCTGCATTGAATGGTAAATTTGTATTAACTTTTTAAAAAAATATATCTTTATTGATTTCAGAGAAAGGAAGGGAGAGGGAGAGAAAGAGAGAGAAACATCAATGATGAGAGTTGTTGATCGGCTGCCTCCTGCACACCCCCTACTGGGGATCGAGCCCGCAGCCCTGGCGTGTGCCCTGTCTGGGAACCGAACCACAATCTCCTGGATCCTAGGTAGATGCTCATCTTCTGAGTCACGATGGCTGGGCAATTTATGTTAACTTTTAAAGAAACTGCCAATTCTTTTTCAAAGTAGCTGTACCATTTTACATGACCACTTAACACTGTGAGTTTTCCCATTGCTCCACATCCTTGCCAACATTTGCTGTTATCTGTCTTTTTTACTATAACCATTGTATTGGGTATAAGGTGGTGTGTTGTGGTTTTAATTTGTATTTCCCTAACAACTGATAATGTTGAGCATCTCTTTTCATGTACTTTTAATCCTTATATATATCTTCTTTGGTGAAATGTTTATTCAAATCTTTTACCCATTTTTAAACTGGGTTGTTTTATTATTGAGTTGTAAGAGACACCAAACAGTGCCTCTTATGTGACTGCATTTGTATGAAAAGTCCAGAAAAGGCAAATCTTTGGAGACAGGAAGTATGTTAATGGTTGCCTGGGGCTGGAAGGTGGGAATGGGAATTAACTATAAGTGGACATAGGGAATGTATCGGGAAGATAGTAATGTTCTAAAACTGGATTGTGGGGATGGTTGCACAACTGGGTAAATTTACCAAAATAATTTAATTGTATACTTAAGACAGGTATATTTAAAGCTGTTAAAAAAAAAATGAAAAAAGGTTGTCTAAGATACTAAGGAAGTGTCCTCTAGGCAGAAGGAACTGCATGTAAAGAGGCACACACGGGGCATGAGGTTGTTGGGAAGGAAAAAGAAGTGTGGCTGAAATCAGATGTGAGAAGTAGGAAGGGACAAAGCCAGAAATGTGGGTCAGAGCTTCATTTGAAGCCTTATATACCATGCTGAGGAGTTTGGATTTGGTCCTGTAGACAGGAAGAAACTCCCAGCAAAGTTAACTTTTTGTTGAGATTCTATTCTAAACGTGAAAGATAAATTTACACATATTGCACTTATTGGGTGGTTCCACTCAACTTATTTTTGTATAGGAAAAAATGAAACTAATGTCATTTTCTTCACTTACTATAAAGGTAAACACTGGAAAACTGATGGCATCAGTAACGTATCTTACAAATCAGAAGAGAGACTTATAACATTCAGCCTAGAGACTCTGGGCCCTGTTACCTTGGTTCAAGACACTCATATTAACATGCCGTACCTGTCATGGGAACTAAGACCACTTGATGTGAATAAAACACTTTTGACTGTGACTACAATATTTATGGAGATTCAAATACAAATTAAGGTAAATCACTGTTATAGCAAGTCATATCCAAGAGGTAAACCTCCTGGATGACTGTAAGAGAGTGTGTCAAAGCAATCAATCACTGGTAATTCTGAATTTTATTATTTTTTAACAACTTTAATTTTCCATCAGCCTCATTTCTGTTTTTTGTTTAAAAGTCTGTGGAAGAGCAGCTAAGACACTATTCAGTGGTTGTAATTTCTAAATGAAATATTGACTAGATAGGAAATACCATGTAAAAAGTGATTTTTACTCACAAATTTATACTCTCAAGTTATTAGGAATAGACCAATTAATGAAGCTACAAGCCTAGTTGTAGTGTGACTTTCAGAGTTTTTGACCCGTTCCTGAGAAGATTCCTGATCTTTATCATCAAGCCATTTGAAAGTCCCTTTGAGGTTTCTCTCTGAAGGAACCTCTATTGCTTGTCAGTCATAAATTACATAGCCTGAAATTTAGAGACAAAAAGTAGATTAGTGGAAGGTGGGAATGGGGGTTAAGTGTATGCATATTGCATGAAGGATCTTATGGGGGTGGGAGGAGGGTGGAAGTGTTCCAAAACTGATTTATGGTGATAGTTGCACCACTCAGTCAAGTTACAAAAAAATCATTGTATTATGCACTTGAAGTGGGTGAACTTACGATATGTAAATATACCTCACTAAAATTGTTTTAAGAAAGCCTGAAATTCCTTATGAATGTAGCAGGAAGACTAGATATCATCAAACTTTGCTTTGAAAAGCAGATGAGAGGTGTGAATTCTGTTCACCTTCAAATTGCCAGTTTAAACTTTGCGGACTTTAAAACTGAAATCATTTTACATTGTTAAATCTTACATGTGTAAAAAAATTATCCTTAAAAGTTGTATCATGATTGCTATCACATAGCTATTGTAATTCAATAGGAACATATGCAGTATTCTTAGATCATAACTTAAAAAAATAGGAGACCTGAGACTTTAGTCCAGTCCCTTGATTGCTCAGCTAAAGCCCCAAAAGAACTGATATACTGCTTAAGGTAACATGGGGACTTTGTGGCCAAGCTTTCAGATTGGTCCTAAAACATATCTGCCCTGCATTTTTTTTAACACAGAATGAGATAGATTTTTTTTAAAAATGGTATAAAGAACCCAAAGGCTAGAACCAGAGTGATAATGAAGTAATACTTTAACTTATACAAAAGCTGCTTTTTTTCTCATTGAAACTAGAAAGATGTCTGCATGTTAGCTTCAATCAAACTAAAGTACCAAGAACATTCCTCTATCTTGGAAGGAAAATGGATGACTCTTACTTCTTTCATTATTGCTTTGAAAGAAGCTGGACTGAATATCTTCCCTACTGAACACTCTCATTTTTATGTTGCTACAAACTATAAGGTAAGAATGAATCCAAACTTAGTGTAATGGACATTTAGGTGCTAGTATTAAATTTTATATAAATCTTAAGGTACATTATGGGTTTTCTATATTCACTTATATAAGGCTATCGTTAGAAAGGAAGGAATAAATGGCAAGACCAGGAATTCAGAGTTCTCTCAAGTTTAATAATTTTTTCCAAGAAAGTAAGCCTGTGGTATGACCTTCATCTTGACCAGTGGAGGACATCCACAGCTGGTTGGTTTTAGTGCAAAGGCAGTCAAAGCAGCTTCACATTTTGTATATTTTCTTGCATCTTCCAGACTGGATATATGTAAGATTCCTTAAAAAAGTAAAGGGCCAAGCAGTTTCCCAAACACAATAAGTCAGATGAAATTAAACACATGTAGGGACCACTGGTACATAAAATCCACTTTCTCCTGTTCCTTGGCAGAGCCTCCCTGTAGACAACACATACTGCTTTGCGCTACTCGTAAAGCTTCAGTTAAATGAGACCCTCCCATGTTAAACTGTGAGCTCTTTGAGGATGGGAACTGTTTTTTTTGTCAACTTTGATGGACTCTTCTAGCACCTAGCATATTCCTAGAATTCAGTAGGTGTTTAGTAAATATTTATGACCTATGAATGAAGACAAAGTAGCTTCTAACCATGAGAGGTGTTTTGGGCATAGGAGTTCAATATTTAAGAACAAGTTTATAATATCCCAGAAAATGGCAATATAGGTAGACATTTGTGTAACATCTGAAAATAATTTTATCGGTAAGAGTATGTACACATGTAGGGAAAAAACCACCTTGGTTTTAGTAGCTCAAATTGCCAGTTACTCTGCAAATGCTGAATGTAGTGTGGTATTAATTTATTCAGAATGTTCAAGAGCTTCTTTTTCTGAACACTTATATTCTAGGCATTGTTTTAGAGGTTTAGGGTATATTAGTGAATAATAATATTTTTTAAAAGGGCCCTGTCCTTGTGGAACTTACATTCTAGTAGAGGGAGACAAAAATAATAAACATAAAAAATAATGTCAAAGGTAAATAAAATTCTATGAGAGAAGGAAAAGGTAGATCAGGAATATTGGGGGTAGGGCAGTATACAATATTAAATAGGATACTGGGGGCTCAGTGAGAAGGTAAGATTCAAACAAAACGTGAAGGTGGGGAATTTAACCAAGTGGATATTGCAGGAAGGAGCTTCCAAGCTGAGTGGCCTGGTATATTTAAAGATTGGAGGAACAGCAAGGAGGGCAGGCACCTGGAGCTAGAGAGCACAGGGAGAAAAGATAAAGTTAGGGAGATCATGGGTGTATGTGGGGGAACCTCAGATCATGCAGACCCTTGTAGATCACTGTTAGGACTTTAGATTCTATTCTGAGAGAAAGGGAAAGCCATAGCCCTGTTTTGAGAGAGGAGTCATATAATCTGACTTACATTTTAATGGATTTTTTTGTGCTGAGAATAGACTGTAGGAGGCCAAGGATGGGAAGGAGACTTGTTGAGAAGGCTCTGTGACCAATTCTATGTGTTTTTATATTGGCAGCTACCTTTGGTAGAAATGAAAGCTTATCGACAAATGGCCCTGCTATGTTCTGCTTTTGCATTTGGTTGGAGCAAGTGGAATATACAATGTGGTTCTAAAAAAGTTATATTTAAGGTATAGTATGCAAAAATGTGTAACACTACTTTTTCTTCCAAAAGAAAAGGTACTCAGAGGCTAAATGAATGTAGACCATGGTTTCTCCTCTTAAAAAGGTGAAAAAAATTAACATCCAAAATGGTGTTTTAAAAATAATTTTATTTGGTCAAAAACTATAAAACTAAACTATGTAAAAGTTATGCCTTCATTGTCCATTATGGTACCAAATGCTCTTGATTTCAGAACTAGAGTACTTATATCTGTTTATAGTGACTCAAGAACAAATGTGAAAGCCTTTAGTGTGAATATATATCTGATTCACCAACTCTCCTTTGAGAGAGAGACCTCCGATTTAACTTTCTGGCACATTTACTACTTGCCTGATAAATTCTAAAAGCTGACTGCTGAATGTTTGAGCATAAATTAGCTGCCACACTTGTTTTTTGTGTTTCTCCCACTAGAATATAAGCTCCTTGAGGACAGTCATTAGATACTGATCAGTGTTTGGGTTTTTTTTGTTTGTTATTGTTTTACATCCCCAGCAACTAGAATAGTATCTGGAACATGATAGCCATTCAATAAATATTTGTTGAATGAATCAATACATTTCGATAAACTCCATAAACACCAAAATTTGGGGTACTGAGTTGAACCCTTCGAATAATACTCTACTGCCAAAGTACCTAATAGAAGGGGAACTCTGAACAGATTTCTCTAATTTTCTTTCTTTAGGTGAGCGAACACCTTACTAAAGAAGAACCTATTCAGAATCCCAACTGGACCCTTTTAATGTTTAATGGCAACCGAGCACAAAGGCTCAAGATTGACGAGGGCAGTGAGGCTTTCTCTGAAGCCCTGAAAGAGGAGACTGAGTTTCATTCTACTCTCTACCACATGGTTAAGGATTTTGCTTCCGAAGCAGCAATGGAGGAAGTGAGGAGCTCCGACTGCCAGTATATTAACTCTGTGTGCCACATGCTACTCTTGACTAGATTACTCAGTTATTCTTAATCTCTGGTGATGACTTTTATTCAATATGAAGAATCGAGCAACCTGGGGGAAAATCAGGTATTTCCTCAGTAAAATGTAACAAGTGAATATACTTTAAACATGCTACTAAAATGATCTAACCAGCATTTTATACGCAAATCTTAGTTTTTTAAATGTGGGGTTCTTTTGCTATGGACTGCTGGCCCACTGAGATTTAACATTCACTCTATGAAGATTTAATGATTCTTTATTTCAGTACATTTTAACAAACTATATAACATCTCCTCCTCAAAAAGCTCATTAAAAGATCATGGGGAGATAATCACAAAAAGAGGGAATTTAAAAGTCTTAGTCATTCTGAGAACCTCTGGTTCCAGGCTATATTCTCCCAGCTAAAAGTTACTAATTTACAAAATTCAGATACTGAAACTTTAAAAATTAAGATACACACATTAGGACGTGTTACAGTCACACTGGGGGTGGCCCGTTGTGTCGGAGTCTGGTAAAGGGCCACAGGATATGTTCTAGAGACATCCAGGAGTCCCCATCCTGGGTGGGAGCGGCATCCACAGACTTTTGGAAAAATCGGCCTGTGAGGAAGCTTATCAAAGCTGCAAACAGTACAATTAATGCAACAGAAAGCCAGAGGGCCTTATTCGCCTTTCTGATGGAGGTCTTGAGATTTGTGGCCCAGGAAGCTACTGTGTCATAACTATAAGGAAAACACAAATTCAGAATTTAGTCATCACAGTAATCTGTTATCAGAAACACCCCTTTTGCCAACAATACCAAGCAAGCCATTGACCTGCTGTGTCTACCAACACTACATTGTAATAAACCATATAATGTAATTTGCTGTCTTGGTTTGGTTCCCTCTTACAGTTGTTGAAATTAAAGAAATAACGCGTTATGGTGAGAATCTGAAAATTCTGTGATTTAGGCGTCGTTTAATTCCTAACAAGTACATACAAGTATTTATCCAACTCTCTCAATCAGGTAAGGCAACATGTTCCTACAGTGGAAACAAAAATATCACTTATTGAGTAGAATATATGTGTGTGTATATATAAACGTGTCGCTTCTCACCATACCTTAGATTTTTGGTGTACTGAAATTTAAACCCTTTCTTTTAGAAGCACTCACCAAAAAAGCTTATTACAGTACCATTTACGTCTTTGAAAATAGTTAACTCTGGGGTAAACGCTAGTTCACTTAATCATAACCATGAAATAACGACCTAGGTACTAGTATCATCCCTGTTTTATAGATGAAATATGCTTAAAAATGGATGAACGTTCCCAGGCTACAGAGCTAGTTAGAGAGCTGGGAGTGGAGCCCAGGAGAGCTGACTTCAGGGCCAGCTTCCTCACACTGACTTCTCCTGCCTGTTGTAACTCACAGATTCAGGCGTAACCCCCACAGACCATACGAAGTTTGTTATTCATCTCAAATTTAACAATCTGACAGGTCTTTTAGTAAAGTAATTTAATCAAGAGGGATATTGTTAACCCTGCCTTACCTTTCCCCATTCCACTAAAATGATGTAATTTGGGAGGTAGACAACTTACACTGAAGAGACATCCCATTTTGATGGATTATTTCTCTTTTCAGAAAGACTTGGTTTTCTTGTCCTTTCTACTATTTCTTCTTCAGGTGGTTCTGAGTCATCTTTAGTTCTGTAAATAAGTATTTTAATATTCAAAACTAAAGATAATGTGCTATAGTGATAAAAATATTGCTAAATTTCTCTGCATTAACAAAGATGCGCACAAATCTTTGCTTTGCTTTAGAAAGATTTGACAAATACCTAATTCTAAAATTCAAATCACCAAATTTATTTAACCATTTTGTTTTCATGACGTATTCTTCTACCACATGGGCTGCAATAATCTATCTTAGTTGATTGAAAAACCTACAGAGAGAAAAACAATCAATGCTAAATTGTAGTAACATCAAAGTGTTATTTTTTCTCTTTCTCTAAAAAATCTTAATTTTAAAAATGTTTATGAAAATATTCTGTGTAAAACTAGTAAAAATATGCTCTCAGTGTTCAGTGACCTGGCAAATAGCAATTGAATTGACTTTATTTTATCTAAAGAGAGGGATTCCCTTACATGAACAAAACGTGTTTATTATGTTCACTGAAGAGTTTGAGCTCATAATGCCCTCACTATTGCCAAAGGGGACTGTATCTCAAAGTTGTTGTTTTAGTAAAAAAAATGTAGGGAATGTATGTGGTAGATTTTGGTTTAGTCTTTAAAGGAAAGAAGGCCCAAAAGCCAGAATCAATTGCATTCTTGTAAGATTTTCAAGGTTTTCAGTCTTTTGTTTACAGAGACTTCTCAGTAAAAATCATACCATACTAACAAAAAGCAAATGATACATTGCAATCTTTTGAAGGAAACTCTTAATTTTTTTCTACTCCAGATCAGAAAATATTCATCATGGTAACTCTAAGAGTTTTCAGTACATGCAACAGGTTCCCGGGATTATTTAAAGTTTTTTGTTTTTTAGGTGTGTGTTTAAAGGTAGGCACTCAGGGAACACGTATGACAGGAACATAAAATCATTTCATTAAGGTCTCCACAGATGAGGAAACTGAGCCCAAGTAAGTTTAAAGCATTTTGTCGAATGTCACCCAAGGACTCAAAGGCATTTGTTCACGTCCCTCCTTCCTGCCTTCTCCCGTGTGCCAGAGCAGTGTATTTTAACTTGCTAGATACAGAGATAGTAATGTAGTTTTATCTTTCCCCTACTCCTCATTTATGTAAAGGGAAGATATATATATATATAACACACATTAATTACATATGTGCCTATGTTTTATATATACACGTATGTGTGTATATGTGTATATGTATGTGTATATATATGTTTATATGTATTTCATGTATTTTTTTAAAAAGATGGACATTTTACTTCTGTGGCTCTTTAGTCACCTTCCTCGCTGCTGGCCAGATACCTATACAGGAAAAAAATCATCTTCACACATCTGGCAAATTCCAAGGTCTTTCCAAAAGACCCCAACCAAACCTTGCGGCTCCCAGCACTACAAGGGTGAATGGGTTCACAAATAGCATTTCTATAGTGCTTAGTAGCTTCTAAGTCTTAAACAATTTAGCTTTTTGATGATGCAGCACTGATGTCACAGCCACGGAAAAGAAGTGACCCCCACTGTTTGCACCCTGGCTCACGTCGGGTTGGCAAACACACCGAGCTTCACCTACTTGAGCTCGTGTTTCTCTTCTCCACCATCCGCCCAGGAATAGGTGCTGATAAACCGATGCAGTGAGGGACGGTGTTCACTCTGCTTTGAGCCCAAAATCCGCCTACATAAAGATGATTACGTCCACTTGTCAAATCAAATACATCCATAGCCATTATCTATCTATTTCCCACTACCTAAATCAATACAAAAATCACACATTCTAATTTTTTTTCCATGGCACTCACGTAACATTTCATAAAACAGTTTCACGATATGCCCATTTTTATAATTCTGCTTATATCACTTATTTCAAACATTTACTTTAGCACAGCTAAAAATAGTAAAGTTCCCAAAGAGCAAGCATATAATTACACTTACCAACTGCTTGACCTCCTGCTGAATCGGTCATTAGTTTCCATCCCAGCCGCCTTTAAAGTTCAGATGTTAAAAGAAATAACATATGAACTTAGTGAAGTTTATATCTTTGTTATATGAAAATGACTTTGCTTTTGACTGAAAACATTTGGAAATTTGCTTACCATTGCTGCATTTCCAATATTTCTGGGTAAAGAAGCAATTGTCACTCTTCGAAGAGAAGATGGCTGCTCAAAGGGAGAAAATGTACATTTAGAAAATTCTTAATATTTTACCCTTGTACGCAACACTGATGACTATCTTTGTACATCCACACCCACACACTTGACTACTGCTGAGTTAAACAGACATTTTCAAAAGGATTTTGTTATGACCAAGTTGCCTTCCAGGTGTATTCTACTCATTTACATTCCACCTTCCCCATCACTGGGTGAGTATGATTTTTGCCAATCAAATAAGGAGTATAAGCTTTCTTGTTTAGGTTTGCATTTATTTGACTTGCAGAACATTCAACACTATTTCTGCTCCGAGAACCACCTATTTATGATCTTTGCCCACATTTTATTCATGATATTTCAGGCAGAAAATTTTTTCATTGTTAATATAGCCAAGTCAATCGGTTTCCTCCTCTCTTTTGCTACCACTTCTTTTATACTTAGAAAAAAGTTCCCCTACTCAAAAGGAGATAAATACATGCCTATATTTATAGCTTTTAAAAATTGCTTCATTTCCCCCCCCATTTAATACATTTAAGAATGGACATATTATTTTAAAGAATGGATGTGTTTATAGATCAGCATTGAGATTGGCACAGAAAAAAATGTTACACAGTATTCTGTGGTTGACTAAGTATAACTTCAGAAAATAAAAATATTTTAAATGTAGGAAATATTGTATGTGAATCCTTTTCTTAAGCCATCATCCCTATATTAATTTTATAGGTTACTTGAGCATCAAGAATATCAAACTGTGGTCCATGAAACCTGGGTTCAAACCATGGTTCTACCCTACATATATCATAACCCATCACCTAACTTCTGTGCTGCTCTCTTTCCTCATGAGTGAAAAGGAGATATGCATGGGAGTGATTGTAAAGTCACTTGCTCAAAAATCCTATTACAAAATTCTGTGCAATCCTGATTTTCAAACTCCCTGATTTTTCCTTAGGCATACAGCCTCTAGCATAAAACACACACCTATATTTCCAGTCTTATTTGCAACTAAGAGTGAAAAGAGAAATTTTACCTTTCCTTAGGGAAAGTTTATCTTTAAAGTGTGAAGGAATACCTGTCTTTTTTTTCTTGGAGTGTGACTTGGTGTAATGACCAGGACTTGGTGCCTGGGACTGAAGAGGCCTTCTTAGACCATAGGGTGGAAGCAAAGGGCTGAGGGTGGTGCAGCAGCTAGAGAGGAAGAGGACCCTGTGGATTTTGTGAAGCTGCTCTAGCATTGTTGGATTGCCTATATCCAACTCCCATTTTACACGAGAGAAACTTGTTCACGACCACCAGGCAAACTTAACTGATATGCCAATATAGCAGGAAATATAAAAGCATACATATAAACAAATATACACACACATATTTGGATACATATATATAAATTAAAATCATTTTATGATTTACATTTAAAGCTATGTTGCTTCAAATATTTTAAAATCATCTCACCTATAATATTTGATAAACATCTTTAAAGTGAATCAGCGAATTATTAATTACCTTGGAGTTTAGAGAAGCTGAGCGTTTTTTAATTTGGCAGTCATCTGAAAGAAAAACATTTGCACAATTTAGAAATTACATTTGTAATTCCTGTTAATGCAATGGTCTTAATTCTTTACAAAGAAAAGCAATGGTTAGGAAATATTTGAGACCCTGGAGACTGCTGAAGATATAACTATCTGGCTATTGTTTATTTGGTTATTGGACAATGACCATCTTAACCCATGGAACACAGTCCTCTCTGTTACTGCATATGTCCGAAATGCTGACCTAGCACATAGTAGGCACTAAATGAATATCTGCTGAATAAATGAACCCAAAATTACACGTAGAAGATCATAAATATGCTTACCTTTCTAGAAGAGGGAACAGATCATTAAGGATTCTCAGTTCATACTGCTTAATTAAAATAAATGATATTCTAAGATTTATATAAACCTTATATTAAGGTATTTTCCATGGCCTTATGTGTGTCCCTGGTTTCCAATTCATCAGTCAGCCTTACTGTGCCAGGGCTATTCCTTCTATGAGGAATACAGAACCATTGTTGACAAGAGCATCACAATTATTCTGCCTTGCTTTATATGTGGAGAAAGCGCCAATTCGAACATATCCCAAGTGGGAGAACACTAGGTCAGCTCAATAGGATGGATTAAATATATTTTCTGACCTCAGGAATTTAAATTTTAATACATTTAAAAAATATATGTTTTTATTGATTCTAGAGAGAGGAAGCAGGAGAGGAAGAGAGAGGGAGGGAGAGGGAGAGAGAAGGAGAGACATTGATGAGAGAGACACATCATCGATCAGATGCCTCCTGCGCATCCCCACACTGGGGATCAAGCTGCACCCCAGGCACGTGTCCTAACTGGGAATTGAACCAGCGACCACTTGGTGCATGGGATCATGCTCAACCAGCATCACACTGGCCAGGGTGGATTTGATGATTTGTTGTTTTTGTTGTTGTTAATGCTTGCCCAAGGATTTTTCCCATTGCTCTTCAGAGAGAGTGGAAGGGGGAGGGAAGCAGAGGGGGAAAGAAAGAGAGGGAGGGAAACATTGATGTGAGAGACACATCGACTGATTGCCTACTGGTGGCGTCCTGCACGCGCCCAGACTGAGGTGGGTGAGAGGGGTGAACCTGCAACCCAGGTACGTGCCCTTGACTGGGAATTGACCTGGCGACCCCTCAGTGCCTGAGCTGATGCTCTAGCCACGGAGCCACACTGGCCGGCACTGACTTGATGAGTTCTTTATGTCGTTATCAAAGAATCCTTGTTGCCAACCTGTTATCTAACTGACATCCTACTTCGGGGTATGCACATGACAGGAATGAGTTATTCTTTTAATATAACCTTAACCTAAGGGTCTTATATTTAAGACATAAGAAGTAGTAGTAACAGAGAATGAAAGCGGTGAATGTTAGAAAAATATAACTTAAAAACATATTATTCTAAACTTGTATTACCTCCATCTTCCAGAGGGTTAAAAGACCTTTCATTTTGCAGAAGGACCTGTTTTAGTTCTTCTAATTCAGCGTGCTCTTTGGCATACATTCTCTTCAGGTTTTCCACATGCTGAATCATCACTTCAACTGCTTTACTAACCCGGCTTTCCTAGGAGGAAAAAAAAGTACTATTCTTGATACCCAGTTAAAAGATGGTAATTAGAAACATGCATATTTATCTTCACTCCATCCCTAAATCCTACTAAAATGACAACACAGGTATTTCTTTTGACAAAGGCCCGAGTCCACAAGGACAAACAGAACAGGAGATGTAATAGCAACCAAATTTTGAAAGCCTACTGGAAGGACCAGTTGTAAATGACGAAAATGTGAAAAGGCTGAGCCCTAAAATAAGCAGTAAGAAGATTCTAGAAGCAAACTAGGAAAGCCCATAGGATCAGGACTTAGTGGCACCTCTGGAATTAAGCTTCAGGCTGATGAACAGAGGAAATGATTAAAAATCTATGCAAAAAGTGATTAGATCCACAGATGCCTTCCCTTACTCAAGCCAGCCAAACAACTGGCCCTCCACCACTTTGGTGAATATCTAAAGAGAGTTAAACAAGAGGGTCTGTGGCTTGGGTAGTAACAAATAGGTGATGGTGGCTCGTGCTGAAATGGATAGAATTAAGCTAAAGTCTGTATACATACTGAATAATGAGCTACCTGGCTTTATTCTTCCTTCAAGCTTCCAGATCCCGGTAGTCAGGCAGCTAGAAGATTTTTCTCCAAGGAATCTAACATCCCAAGATGAAAGCCCTAAAACTGCTGTCACTGAGAGTACTCTAGGGAGACATCCTAGCTTGTGTGAAGCTCAGGGTCAACAAGAACCCTCCCCACTCAACATACAGAGCTCCCAGTCACCCCGATGTTGGAGGTAAGCCCCTAGCACAAAAGAAGACAATGAAAACAGATAAAAGCGAGCTGAAGGAAACAACCCAGAAAAACTAAAACTTCAAGGAAACTACCAACATCTTCGAAGAGCTACGAATTAGTATTGCATCCATGAAATAAAAATAAGGTATTTGTCAAAAACATTCTGAGAACAAAAAAAGTCTGGAAATTAAAATATGACAAAAATTTGACAGAGAAAATGGGGAGGACATGATGATGGTTTAAGGAGAGAGTGTGAAGCTGGTATTTAGAAGAGAGGGAGGGTGACAGATGGGAGGCCCTATGGGCCCGCAAGAGGTTTGTGGTAATGAATTTCAAGGGAGCTAGTCAGCACACAGGTGTGATGTCTTCCAGCTATGCGGGTATGAGCAGGTGGAGAGCTGGATTTAAACAGGGTTGTAGATTTTCCTAATGAGTAAAATTAAACGAGAGAGGAAAAGGTGCTGAGGGGCTCATGTGAGGGAGGGAATATTGTGTTTGACTATGGAATGTAAGCTTGGTCAGGAAAAAAGGGAGGTCAACAGCAAGGCGAGAGCGGGAAGGTCTGAGGGAACAGAGTGATAAAACTAAATATTTGCCTCCACAGTGGGACATCAACAAATATCTAAAACTTTAAATCACTAAGTGATAGTCTATGCATGTTATTTAGGGATATAAATATAAATACAAAACAAACCAAGAGTTGAAAGTGATTTTTCTTTAACATGGAAAATGGGATAATAAGTCTTATAGAACCACTGAACTTTTTAAAACTATGTGCATACATACCTTTAATAAAAATAAAACAGAATATTATTATATAGTGAGGGGATAAAATGGAAATGGGATATTAAAAGTGTATAACAAATGATCAAACTAAAACTGTCACCACAAATTAACTTCTCCTTCTTTGGAAAATATACTTTAACAAGTTTGCTTAGGTATAGATTACAAAAATTAGTCATTCCACATTTGCCCACAAAGAAAATTTAAAATTCTACTTCTCTGTGAATAAGTGTGCAAAGATGCATATACAAGGATACTTATTGTAGCATTGTTTATAATAGCAAAATATCAAGAACACCCTGAAATGATCAAATATAGGGGATTGGTTGCAGAATTTATCTTTTCAACCAATACCATAGAACAATGACACATGTATGAATTTATATCACACAGAAAGCTATCTATGCTATATGTTGAATGAAAAAGCAGATTATAACATTGTATGAAGAGAGTGTCTAGAAAATTTATCACAAAAGTCTTATAATGACTGTTACAAGAGATTTTCCTTTACATTTTTATTCACATATTCCATTTTCCATTTCTCTGTATTAAACATATATGACTTGTACAATAAAGAAGAGCTTTCTAAAACTTATTCCTAGAAATACAGTCTATAATCTCAGGGAAAATAATCTTTAGTAATTTCATTACAACTAGAGAAAGAGAGAAAGATTACCTGATTAATGGCTCCCAACATCTCAGCCCTACTGGCCACGCGCACCGTGCACTGGCTAAGGAACGATATACTGTTCTCCAGCTTCTTAATGATTTCCTGGGCCTGGTTGTCATCTTCACACAGAGGCGTTAAAGACTGCACAGAAAGCAACCCCAAAATTCAGCAAGTGATTCTGACACTGTTGTAAGCGCACGTGACAGTCAAATCTCAATTTTCTTGGTGTAGAAGGAAAAGCATCTGCTAAGACCAGTAAGAATGATGCTAAAGTATTAATACCTTTGTTGCTGTCAAGTAGACCTGTGCAGGGGCTCACAAAGCCTTAGGTTGTCAAATTAAAAACGACAGCAGCCAACACAGCAATAGCCGTCTGGTGTGAATGAATCAAAATTATACCTATTTTTTTGTCAGATCGGCAAAAAATGTATGTTTTGGTGTGCTGCAGAATTTCAATAATTAGTTTATGTGTGCCAGGAGATGAAAAAGGTGAAAACTGCCGGCTACATGGATACAGAGTTTCAGTATGCAAAATTAAAAGGCTAGATCCGTTTCACAGCAAGATAAATACATGTGACACTACTGAACTGTACACTTAAAATGATTAATATGGTAAATTTTATGTTATGTGTTTTTTACCACAATAAAAAATACAGAACATAGTTTCTAAATTTTTATTTCCCAAAATTGGCCTTAATTTTCCAGCCCGCCTCAATATTTACGGTGACTTCACAAGATGGAAGAACAGTGGTTGTTACACTGCTCTGTGCCCCACGGGGCCTGCCCACCGTCTGATAAGACCCATTTTCTTTATTTCAGTTAATTAAATAGAAGTAGACTTTTGATTCTCTTCTTTGAAGCTTAAAATTGATATCTCCTGTTGCTCAGTTTTCTGCCTGATTACTTTTCTGTCTGAAACCTATTTGAAAATCCAGAGAGAAGGCAGAGAACTCACACAACTACTTTGAAAGATATTTATTGTTTTATTGCTTATACTCTCCTATTAGTGAATCTTTTTTATTTTACCCTGATACTGAATTCTTATCTCCTATTAATTCACATTGGGGTCAGGCAGTGCTTGGTACCTGGTGTTCGTTGCAGTCATGTAGGTACACTCAGATGTAATTTTGAAAACATTAACAACAATATGACTCAATGTATAGCCCCCAAATGTTGGGATTCTTACCTCCAACAGCTTCAAACAGTTAGTGATTTCTTTCCTCAAATTTTCCTCTGCCAAGTCACGGGTTCTTTCTTCAAGCTTTACTCTTTTCTCCAAGGTGAACCAGTCACACTTAAACCCCAAAGATAATCTGAGAAATTCAGCCTGTTGTCAAATTAAAATGAGGGTGAAGGGGAAAAAAAAAAAAAAAGGATGTAGTCAAATGTCCCGTTTAACACGGAATTACACTGAGGCGTTCCTTTCTCTTCCCAGCAACACGGCGTTGACAGGCACGCACAGGACTGCTCTGTCACGGCCACGCCGGACAGACACCACATGACGACAGCTTGTGCAAAAGCATGAAGCGGCTGCACGCAAGTGAGTCTGGAACCCTTTCTTTTAAATCGAAGTAAAAAATATTGGCTTTAAACTCACCTCTACCTCCTTCTCATTAGCAGAAGCGCTGTAGGATAAGACAAAGAACTTAGTCAAACATAACTCAACAGAAGAGCGAAACGCGTTAGATGTAACATGAAGAAGAGCTTACTTATCACTTGGTTTAAAGTTAACCGATTTCACAGTGGTTACAGGAACAGAGGAAACAGCAGCTTCTGTTCAAAGACAATAAAATATTATTTGGTTAGAAAGGCTTCACAGCAACAGCTAAAGGCGCATTCGATCAAACATTATGCCCTCTCGTCACTAAACAAAGGTGTTCCATTGAAATATGCCTGAGATGCTAGCTTGCTAATAATGCATTTGCTGAAATATAAAGTTATGCTATTGGGATCATAATGGCCTTAAAATCATTCGTTCACACTTCAGCATGTGAATGAATAGTCTTTGAAACCTGAACAGGTCTGAGTCAAGGGACAGCCCAGTTTTTCTCTTTGCATTTGAATCTTTGACTTGATCCTGTTGCTAAGAGCACGCCTTCCTCTGGTACCCTGGTCCTCCTTCACAGCAAAGTTATAATAGCAGCAGCAAGCATAATAGTGACTGCAGTAGCAGTAGTAGTAATAATAATAATAGTAATAATAATAATACTGATAACAATAACAGCAACAATACACACGGTCCCATAACAAGGCTCTTTACATATACTAATGATACTCTTAATGACAACTTTGCAAAGAGGAAAAGTAACAATTTCATCAAACCATTTACAAAATAAGGGTGATATTATTTTTCTGTAGGAGCTAACTTGTACAAGAACTTCTCTGCCAGACACTTTTCTAAGTGCTTCATTCATAATTTATTCACTTCTCACAGCAAACCTGCTGTGACAGATGCTGTTATTATCTACAGTCCACAGACTAGGTAACTGAATCTCAGTTTACCTATCACCCTTAGATATTTGGCAGACCGAAATGAAACTATACGTAAAGAATTTAACCAAGTATTTAGCATACAGTATATTCCCAACAAAGAGTAATTTTTTTCACCCATCTTTCCCATTTTGCAGATGGAGAAATTGAGACTCAAGTTGAATAACTTTCCAAAGTCAAAGTTAGAGGCTGAGCCAGTATAGAGCCTGTGTGACCCCAAAGCCCGAATTCTGCCCACTATTCCCTCCCATAGAAGGGGAGATGGGGAGGGAAGCTTATTAGCACTTATTCTTTAAATACTGGCTTATTTCCTTTTAGACGGAATAATGAAAACGATCTGAAAGAAGGGCTGAGAATTTACTACCAACATTGGCACGGTTCTAAGTTCACATAGGGCAGTAGTCCTCTGGGGCTTAACAGCCATTGGCAACATAAACGTGGCTTTTTTAAAACAATGTAAATGGAATCAAGAATCAGTTCTACCGGTAATTTTCTCTAGCGATGCAGATTTGTAGATGCCATATCTTTACTCAGAAAGATTTCACCCATAAAAATGCCAGCAGGGAACAAAAGTTCACATGGGGGTTCAGAGGGAACATTTCTTACCTCCTGCAACACATTCTTTTCTAGGCTTATCTATTATCTTTGTTTCCTCTTTGGCTTCCTAAAATCATAAAGAGATTTTGTTGTTATACATAGAGTGGAAATCCTTTATAACCAACCATTTTCCAACTTCCTATCCTCCCCTAGCCCTACCTGGTCAAAAACACTCTACAGTATTTAAAGAACTGTGCTAGGGGTCAAGGAAGAAACAGGACTGGCTCCAGGGGTGTTTCCAATCTAGTTGCAGCACGGACGGCAATACATGAAAAGCTGCAAACATCATACAAGTTACCACAAAGCAAACTAGGATTAATCGCCAAATAAATGGGATCTAGATAAGTAAGTGTTCTGCAGAGGAAGGAGAGAGACACCATGGCCCGAGAGGCATGGAAAGTCTGCTGACAAGGAACATGCCAAAGCTTGGCGGAGAAGTAGGATAGGATGGATGAAGAGGTCAAGGGGGGTAATCTAGGACTATCGCATGCAGTGGGCTTTTGGAGAAACTGTGGCAAAAATAGCTGCTCAGATTGTGCTGTTAGGCTTTTACTACATATGAATATTCTTTAAGGTCACCGATCAACTGTCTTAGAAATTTAACTATGCAACAAGAATCTCCATAAGAGGATTGTATGTCATGCCTGGGCAATTGAATGGGAAAGCTGTAGGTATACAATCATTTTACGATAATAATTATTCAACACTCTTAGAAATTTTCCATAAAAAATAAGTCCAAGTCAAATTTCCTTGGTAGAGCCCTTGATAACCATGTCATGTAATTTTTAGACAGTTGAGACTAAGACTGATAAAATGTAACAAATGTAATAATAGAGGTAAAGCAATGGATTGCTCTTATCAACACTTAAATAATCTTAAATTTTTTTAATCCTCAGTCAACCCCATGACCTCTTTCAGCTATGGCATTTTCTCCTGTCCTGCCCTTCGTGGCCAGGCTTCTGGGAGTTGTTGTCCATGGTTGCATTTCTAGTTCTTTGTCTCCCAATTGTCAACAATGAACTACTCTGCTCCTGTACCCAACACTCCAAGAAAACTGCTCTCCCTAGTTATCAGTGAACTCCCTACCACCAAATCCAATGGGTAATTTTTAGTCTTTATCTTACTTGACCTCACTGTAGCATCTAAAACAAACTATTATCCCCTCTTCCTTGAAGATGTTTCTCCCCTTGGTCCTGCTCTCCCTATGTCTTTCCATCACTGCAATACTTCCTCCTCAGGCTCCTCTGCATTGCATTCTAATATTAGAAAATGGATCATCAAGAGGTAATTATTCTCAGTGCTCTCTTCTTGGCTGCTGAATCCTTGGGACATCTCATCCACACATACTTGGTTCTTTGCTGGTAACTCATAAGTGTGTATCTGCTCTTAAAGGTCCCATTGGCAAGTTTAAGGAAATGAGTATATAGCCATGTATAAAATCTACTTACAGACTACTGATGTCTCACATCAACCTGAAACTTTACTTACCTTCAACTGATCTTACTTACCCCACACATTCTACTACACTTACTCCCTCCCTGCTCTCATATTATTCTATTCATACCTCCTCCATGACACCTCTTTTGGCTCTCGCCCCAAGCATTTTTCTTTCATATCACTAACCACACTCAAATTATGGAGTATCTGCATGTTTCTCCCCCTAATTAGAATGTATCTTTAAGATAAATATCCCTGTTTTATTTTATTCAACCTTATTTATTAATGCTTTCACTTATTTAAGAGTCCTCTATTGATTGATATTTAGCTTATTTTTAGTAGACCTTTGATGAATAAATGAGTGACTTAATGACTCTACTGTGTGACCTTGGACAAGTCACAAGGAGGTTTTGGCCTCAGCTTTTTTACTATTATTAAATGCTTTTAACCTCATAATCTTTTAGAAGGATAAAATGAGACAGTGCTTTTAAGAGTATCTTGCAAAATTAAAGGGAGAGTGCCACCATTATAATACATAATTTTTACTGTTAACATGTGTATATTTTCTTACCAGATTCAACATTGTTCTGTCCTCACCCACAGAGCCCTGGAGTGCAAGATTCTCATGAACGGGACTTGTGTCTATGAAAAAAGCAAAACACACTAAATGGCTGGGGAGGCATCAGTGAAAGAGGAAGAGAGAGACGGTGGCAACATGGGCGGCTCGCAAGCGGCATTAGCCTTAACGTGACATAAATTACGTACTGCAAAACCGAAAATGTGCCCCTTCATTCAGAATCAGACCAGAGAAGCTAAGGTTCCCAAGGAAGCCGGACATGTACGTTTTCTTAGGAGAAATAAACACTTGTATAAATGGCCTTCATGTAGTTGGGTTTTTAATATCCTTGTAAAGGCTGCTGCTTTTTTTTATCAAACACATTACTAGTATCGTTATAGAAACTGGGTGAAGAAAGGATGAACAATTAGTAGCTTAGCAGCTTTTTCATAGCCTGAAAAACAGGTTTTTTAAAATTACATACCTAAGGCTGGTAACAAAAGATACCCTTCTAAAACATGTATCTTTCTAAATAAAATGTCATCAGACTAAGAAGAGAGGATGACTTTTAACTTATGCCACTCCTTTTTGTAATTTCCCTTTATTTTTGTGTACTTTATTTGTATTGTAAAGTACTTAATAATGATTTTCCTCTTCCCATGATCCATTGTCCTAAATTTCGCTCAGTGCAGGCACAAAAATTAACAGCTATAGGTAAATTTTGTTTTTCTTTTTAAGAAACAAATAGTTAAAGAATCTATTATATTTTTAAAATTTTTATAGAAACAAGAACAAAATGGTAAACCCTTCAGAGATATAATTTTTTTCCCCATGACAATTTTATTTTCATTTTTCTTTAAGTTTTAAGACATAATAGATTCATATGGTCCATAAATTTAAAAATATAAAATGTTTCACAGTGAGATTTTTTCCCCTCATCCATGCCATCCAGAAACCCACTTTCCCTCTCCATAAACAATGCTATTTTGTCTAATCTTCCAGAGATATTTTATGCATACATAAAAACCTTTTCCTGTCCTTTTTCCACAAATTTTTACATGCAATATATAATATTTTGTACTTTGTTATGTGTTTAAGAAACAATAGTTATTTGATATCCTTCCAAGAAAAACGGTTCCTTATACATGTCTTATGAATGCATATATGTATTTTATAACATGGATATGCCAAAACATATTAACTAGTCTTCTATTGATAGTTAACTTGTTTCCAATATTTTGTTATTACAGACAATAAATAAATAAATAAATATACACATATGTTATAGTGTATGTGTATACTTAGACCTACAGAATAAATTCCCTGAAATTTAATTGTTTTATCACAAGATATATACACTTAACATTTTGCTACATATTGGCAAGTTCCCCTCCATATGATTTATAATCAAGGTGTCTCACTGGGAATGGTAGAAATTAACTAGTTTATTTTCAGAGCCAAGTAGCAGAAAGGATCTAACATGTCTTCTAGTTAATTCTTTTGCCTCCTGAATGGACCATCACTAAGTGGTCTGTATTCTAACCTAATAGATTCTAATCAGGGTTCTGGAATTCCCTAAGCAGGTGATTCCACATCTGAACCACAGCTGAGACCCAGTTGTGTCTAACCAATCTTTGCCATAAAGAAATGTTTAAGGCCCATTAAAATATATTGTAATTTTGGTTCTATCTACAGAATTGAATAAAGATTGGTAACATTGTCATACATAAAGGCAATAGTCCTCTCTTGGACTTTTTTTCCTCCAAATTCTTTTATAAAATAATGCTACTGAGGATAGTCACTCTACTAGCTTACAGGCCTGCGTAGTGTTCTAGAATGGAGACCACACTTGATCCCTTTAAGAGCTTACCTTTGACTTTTATCGGAGCAGAATCTGATCTTCTATCCGCCTCTTTCTCACAGAGGGCTTTAGAAGGAAGGTCACCAGAAGCCATGTTCACAGTTTCTGATCCAGAATCTATCAACAGGAAGAAGCTAAGTGCACACGTACCATGCAAAAGTATTTGCCTATGCTCTCTTCATTTGCACACACGTCAGCAGGTCACAGAACACCAAGCTCAGAGTATTAATACTAACACTCCATGTTGATACCTTTTCCGAGTCCACTCACCACTTGAAGTTACAGTGCTCTCAGTGGACGAAGTGTGTTCAGGAGATGATAGTGTGGAATATTCGCTGCCAAAAGAGTGCAAGAAATATGTTGGGGTGTCGGGTCCAGAGAAATCTCTTAAAAATTAACTGAATGTGCATATAAATTTGCACACACACACCAGACAGGCAAACAAACCTGGACTGCGGCAGGCTCTCAGAATGCAAGTGTTCGATACCATTCTCCTAAAGGCACAACCAAACAGAAAGAGGAGGGATAAGTTCAACGATTTGACACTATCCATTCCACAAAGGTGATTTTAAGCAAACATTTTCACATAATTTTAAATGAGCCCATATTTACTTTGCTCTTTTGCAGAGGATATGGAGATGGGATTGCACAGGGCAGACTGATATGCCTACTTCCTCAAAGCTGTACTTGCAAAAAAAAAAAAAAAAAAAAATCCAATTTTAAGTATACTTCCAAGTCTAATTATTTAAATAAAACCTGAAAATTCTTGGGCAAAACGAACTCCAAACTTAAAGGGCAGATAGAGCTTATTTCATGAACTGAAGTCAAGTTTTCTTTAAACAGAACATTCTACGAGGGCATAGAACCTTTCTATTTATGGAAATATTACTCAACCTAAAACTTTTGACCTGGTGATTCAAAATGGTTCTCAGTTTTCCAGCTTGACAAATCATACATTTTAAACTTAAATTCTCAAAGATCTTGAGGGATTACCTAGAAGTCAGCACCTATTATTTGGTGCTCAAAAGAGCTTAACAGGTCCTAGCCTGCTAGGCCACGTGTCTGACAATCTCACTTGAACTTCCTCCTCTCTGTCGTGAGTTCCTAATTCGGGTAGACCTCTGGGGCATTAGGATTGATTAGTTCACTTACCCTATTTCAAAAAATACAGTGGAACATAGGTTTCTCTGTAATAATAATATTTTCTAATAAGCATATTTTCATTATTATTTGATCTATTTAGGAAAACAAATTAAAATTTAATAGATAAACTGAAATCATTTGGATATATCAAAAGACTGCACAGACAGTGCAAAAATGGAGACATTTAAGTATTCTATAATCAAACGTAAAACTTATTTTTTTTTAATCCTCACTGGAGGACATTTTTCCATTGATTTTTTTAGAGAGTGGGAGGGAGGGAAGAGTGGGGAAGGGGAAGGGGAAGGGGGGAGGGAGGGAGAGAGAAACATTACAGTGAGAGAGACATTGATTGATTGCCTCGAGCATGGGCCCGGGCCCCGACCTGGTGGGGCTGGGCCAGGATCCATCTGCAACCAAGGTATGTGCCTTGACCAGGAATCAAACCTGAGAGCCTTTGGTCCTCGGGCCGACACTCTAACCACTGAGCAAAACGGACCAGAGCCAAATGTAAAACTTATTAACTGCCACAGCCAACAGCAGGTTTCAGTGGTGAGATGCTGGGTATTGTACACAATATTTAGAATCTATCCAAGGTAATACTGACTATAGCCACAGAAAAGTGAAGATTTAGCAAGAGTTTGTTGAATATGTAGTTACCCGGTACAATAACAGCTGCTTACATCTATCTGTTCAGCACATTAAAATTTACAAAAGCCTTTTATGTATTATTTAATTTCCCTACAACCCTATGCAAGAAAATATTTACTAATTCAAGTAAGGAAAGGAAAGCCAATGAATAAAGTAATTTCCCGGGAATATTCAGAATGGTGGTGTCAGCCTGTAAACCCAGAGCGAACTAAATGCAGTGTCTACTCCCCTGCAAACAGAACTGTCTCCGAGATACCCTAACCCAGGCTATTAGAGATTCAAAGACTTCACAATTACTGTCCTAGACTGGCAGATGATTTAAACATAAACTTTTTAAATGTTTACCTCAAATGTTTAGAAAAATCCACAAACTTTGCAAAGCAAGAATTTATACCTAATCCTCCTGCGTATCAAAGTGGGGCAATCCTCTCTCTTTTATTAAATTTTATTTCTGCTTTAAATATCTTTGGGTCAGATTGTATGTGACTTAAGCCCCTCATGACAAGAACCACTTTGTGCTAGGAACAGTGACAAAGGCTGGAGACATGCAAAAACACAGCCCTTGTTCCAGAAGAGCTTGTAGGCCGGTCAGGAAGGCAAATACTTAATAAATTACAGGCAGCATTCCACAGAAGAAAGTAATATGCACAGCACAGAACAGAACAGAGGGGGAATTTTGTAGAGAAATTGTACCTTATACCATACAGATAATTAAATAATAATGGCCCTACCATTAAAATATTTTAATAAGCCCTGGCTGGTGTGGCTCAGTCGTTAGAGCATCGGCCTGTACACCAAAGGGTCATGGGTTCAATTCCTAGTCAAGGGCCCATACTTGGGTTGAAGGTTTGATCCCTGGCCCTGGTTGGGGTGCTTGTGGGAGGCAGCCGATGGGTGTGTCTCTCTCACATTGATATTTCTCTCTTTTTCCCCTCTCTCACCCTTTCACTCTCTTTAGGAATCAATGGAAAGAATATCCTCAGGTGAGGATCAACAACAACAAAAATAAAATTTAATAAGTTGCTAGTAATTAATTATATGCTTATCTAAGTATATACCAATATAGTTAAATAAAGCTATAAAAATAAACACCCCTTCAGTTTGAATTTCATACTTCATAAAAGTCAACAAAGATTGATTCCTTAATAATAAAAAATAGGCCCTTTTTCACTCCATAACATATAAAAATTTGTTATTATGTGTAGCTTGAAATAACTTATTGTGCTATGATTAATAATTATACTATATATAATAATAATTATATTGCACTAACTAAAAAACCAATTTTGTAAGAAAGAGACTTCTTATACCTATCAGGGTCATGGGTACTTGTATTTGAATTTAAGAAGTATGAAAGAGAATACAGTTATTTCCTATTTAATTAAACTAGTTTCCAATATCAGGGGAAAAGAAACCACCATTTCTGCACACTTTGGTTTTTAAAAAGTCTAATTATGTAGTGTCAAAATAATGCACACAGCAAAAACACAGTTTGCCTCCATTATATTACAAATGTCTCATTTGTCATTATCTCTGTATGAGCCTTTCTTTTGCCCTGAACCTCATGTGTGAAACATTTTAGTGAGAAGCCTTTTGATAAACATAAGCTATATACTGATTAAATAAGTAACAATGCTGTGATTTTGGAGAAATATTTGGTAGTCACACATTACTGCATTGTTCTGGAACAGTTGCAAGGGAAGCGATGGGATATTGCTCTAATTCATTACTCTGTATAAATCTCACTGATGGGCAACCAACCCAAGATACAACATATCTCAAACCTAGATTTTCATAAATTTGGTCTAACAACATTTTCCCCCTTCTTTCAAGAATAATCAGACAAAAGGAGATTCTGTTTTCAAGTTCAATGCTATCCTTAATGAACGTGGAGGCAGAGCCCTCAGGCTGCCTGTGACTGTGGAGCTGGGGTGGGAGGGAACTCAGCGAAGCCTTTCCTCAATCGTGCTCTTTTCTCCCAGCTTCAAAGTCACCCCTGTTCAAACCAGCACCCTGGGCCTCTAGGAGAACCTACCCCACACACAACAACGGGGAGGCCCGGGCAGCTTATGAACAAGATAATCTACGGGATATGTTTCAAAACCAAGGAAAATAAATTGACTACAAGCAAGAAAAAGAGTTCAGATGAGAGACTTACTTCTACAGAAGACGGGCTCGGGGCAGTGAGCCTACGGCCGGCGAGGGCATGGAGCAGGAAGAGGGTTCCTCCTGCCCCAGCCATCAAACACCAGCCTGCATAAGGTTCACCTGGAGATCCACGGGCCAGCCCTTCGCCTTTGGCGGCGAGAGTCTAACACAGGGTGGGGTGGACGCGGCGCTCATGGGACAGAGTGAGACACAGTCTCCCACGGGCCGGGGCAGCAAATGCAGGTCTCTCTCTCTCTCTCTCTCTCTCTCACACACACACGAGTATTATGTCAATATTTAGATAGAAAAATTTGGAGAACAATAAGAACTAACCCAGGTTATTTTATTTTTGCTCTTCTAGATGAAATGCTATTTTATCCATTGATTTTATGATCAGAAGCCCTTCTACTAATAAACAGCCATGGTATCAATTTTTACTATTAGATCTATTTTGAACAATTGATGCTACTCAAATTAATATGATTTTCTGAGAACAACAAAAAATTGAACAAATGGCATCTGCATGGACTTATTTCATCCTAACTTTAAAAAATAGCTTGGCTTGATTCAGCATTGGTTTCAACATTCTAAAAAAAGAAAGAATGTAAAATTAAATGTCAAAAGATCACAACTGCTATAACCTAAACAAAAGTGAACTGCCTCACAGGTTTTTTTCTCTCTTCCAATTTCTAACTAAAAGGACACCACACCCTCAGATCTCCAGGACACACCCACCACTCTGAAGTTCCTTTAAATACAGTTATCAATCAACTTCTAAATGGCCCAGTTTTGCAACTGGCAGTGTTATTTATTGTTCAAGGTTATTAATGCTGCACCCACGCACAGCTTGAGAGAACAGAGCAGGATAGACAATAGCCAGAAAATCTTCTGAGATATTTTAAAATGGATCCTGCCCTTTGCCTCACAAATCACTTCCTCCTAGTGATAGTTCATCTAAAACAAACACGTTATAACATGAAGGGCCCTCAAATGGATTGCAAGACACAGTATTTGGTATATGTGATTTTTTTAACAGCCAAAGGAAAAACAAAAATTCACCTTCATGTCCCCTGACCTGTGATAAGATATCCTCGGAGCTTCACACTGCTGATGATTCTGATTCCGGGTGACAGTTATAGCTATTTTCTGAGTGTTTACTATGAACCACGTAATTTACACACATTAGAGTGTCATGGTGGGGTCAGATCTGAGACTGGAGTAGGTAGAAGGGAGAATCAGTTTAGTTCTCATAGAAATTTTCATGAGACATCTTAGTTCTCAGAGTGCTTGGGGACACACACAGGTACCTAATCACAAGTCGGGCTTTGCAAAGGTCTCAAAACCCTTTGGTTGCTATTCAGACACAGTGGCAGGAACAATGAAGAAGAAAAGGAAGACACACTGTAAGGAGAGACAACTGGGCCCCAGAGAGAGACTGCCCAGTGAGGAAGACCTGAGGAAGTGGGCACTGTAGAGCTGGGTGTAGCTACTGAGGGAGCAGCAATTCTTGATTCAGTGGGAGACTGTGCTCTGACCATTGTGTCTACCAGCCCTG